TCTCAACGTAGTTTTCCTACACCTGGAACTCACGAGGATGATGGCGAAGAAGAACTGAACAATGGTGCTTATATACTACCAATGCCAAAGCAGCTAGAACTTTCACAAAAGAAAGAACATTTACAACTTATCATCAACAACTTCATTGATTTATCATCAAAACAGAATGGTACTTCAGCAGTTTCAGTAACACAGCAAGCTGACCTAAAGAAAGTGGCAATATCGAACTGGGATGATGATTCATGGGTCTTGATGCTAAGTAGACTTGCTACTAGAGGTTTGAATAATGAAGAGTTGAGTACCGTTATAAGAGAGACTCTATTCGATCATTTCAAAACGGATTTGAAAGGTAAAATAGATGGTATCATCGAATGGCTGAACGAAGAATATTATTGCTCGCTTATCAAAAAAGATGAACAAAATCTAGATGTATACATACATTACTGTACACTTGTCTTGGATAACCTCATACCGTTCCTAGAAGCATCAGATAGAAAGATCTTCATAAGATTGCTAAGTGAGTTGCCATACTTGACTAAAGACATGATTTGGAAGATTAGATCACTTTGTGCTGATCCAGCAAGATCGAAACTGGGATTTCAGTCGTTATTGTATTTGATCATGTTTAGGCCTCCAGTTGTGCAATTTTGTATCGGATTATTAAAGGACATATATCAAGATTCGGGTAATAATGAAGGTTTGCAAAACGAATGCCGCAACTATTTGAAAAAATATGCTCCTGAAGAACAGGTTGCATGAAAAAAAACTTTTTTGGAAACAGCTCTTGTGTAATTTGACTAATAAAACTGATAAATATATAATTATTTTCAATATAATTTCAACCTCGTAGATTATATACTTACAAACTTTATGTATGATGCTACTATTTGTAAAAAAAACTGATCTATTTGTACAAAAAATAAAAAAGTAAATCTCAACTCCGATGCCGGGAGTCGAACCCGGGTCTGCACGGTGAGAGCGTACTGTGATAGCCGTTACACTACATCGGAAATATTGTACTATTTTTTAGAAAAATTGAGAGTAGTGATAGTAATATTACCCGGGTTTTTGCCCAAAAAACCAAAAAATTTACCTCCAAATTTTAGAAAAATTGAGAGTAGTGATAGTAATATTACCCGGGTTTTTGCCCAAAAAACCAAAAAATTTACCTCCAAATTTTAGAAAAATTGAGAGTAGTGATAGTAATATTACCCGGGTTTTTGCCCAAAAAACCAAAAAATTTACCTCCAAATTTTGTAAAAATGTTTCCCTGGAGGCAAGTTATCCCCAAAATTAAGCAGTATCTCTAGTTTATACGGTTGTATAGTAGCAAAAGTAATGATATTTGCTGTAAAAAACTAGAAATCAGAACGTATAGAGTGGAATAACTGTTGCTGTACCTGCGAGGTAGTAAATAATTTCAATTTTACAACGGACCTTCAAAGGATTTTCCTTTCACTAATAGGGAGCAGTAAGTTTTATACTCACGTATATATTATTAGGAGGATTGATCTATTGGATGGGTGAGAGCTGATTCAACCTTATCTAGAACATATTCGTTTATTCTGACGTTCGGATAGAGAGCGAGAAATCACAAACCGTTCGCAACCGTTTCAACTACGCTTTCATGAGACTGGAGAATGCCAGCATTGTGTGACCTTTTTAAATGACACATTATATCATGATGTTAAAGTCTATTGAAACTGGTATCAGAACGTTAGTTTGCAATAAGTTAGAATAAAGGGGGTGTCGATTGAGTATTAGCGACATAATATGATAAAATGTATATTCTCGATGAGATGTTTTATTTGTGTATTTATTTATAGGTGAAGCAATCATAGGTATAGTTTACTTTACTTTACTTATCAAAATATTTATCTTCTGCCTGACAAAGATAATTGAGCTTTGAATCTTTATAGCTTACGAAATTTCTTTCAGGATGGCTTTTCTATTGATTGGGTGAAGGTAGCTTCAACCTCAACGAGAATCTATTTATTATCAGTATTATCTGTCACTTATAATGGTTTAGATAAGTTCCCGTAGTGTAAAAAGCTAACAGGATACTGTAAACGTCTCTGGACGGCGGTGAGAACATTAGTTAGCAAAATGCACGTATCAGCTTATTTGTAACTCTTTTGAGTGGTTGTACGAACGCTTATCGGTTGTTCTTTATTTGTAACTGTTCATCCATTGTTGTTAAGGCATATTGCAAGCAGCAAACAAACCTGGCAAAAAAACTGTACCTATATACTTCTTAGACGAGTCCAACTCGTTCTTTTTGACCGTCAATTCCACGAATGAGTACGTCGCTACAGCTGGAAGCGACGGTAATGTGTTAATCAGAACAATGTCAAAGTTTTTGGATCTGGTTCCTTTTTTAAGTTACAGATTGTCTGACCCAAGAGCTCTAGAACTAAAAAGACCACCTGTTTTTCTTGGTGCTGTAATGTTTAGAATTGCAGTCACAACAATCCTCCATTCTCTTGAAACTCTTTGCAGAATTTTTTGAGGATACCCAACACCGATAGCAATAGATATCAAGGTTGAATAATCTCTTATGATACCACTGGTGAAAATAGTTTAATTAGTCACTATCAAAATAACGATACCATCAAAAGGGCAAAAGATTCATCCTCGTCGAAAATGCACTTATCATTAAGTATATCTAAAATGTATTGTCATCATTTTTACTGATAGAATCTGTTGTTCAATACTCCTTAGCCTCATTCATACCTTAGATAGTATATATTGCTGCTACCAAGTTTTTCTTTTTATCAAATGGGTTCTCATTAATATTTATATTATTCTTGTCATTGGTATCATTATTCTATGGTTGAGTAAAAGGAACACTCAGCTATAAACTTTTTAGCCGTTAATGAGTGAATTTGGTTGTTATGGGATATGGAGGGATCCGTTGCTTCTTGTTGGTGTTGCAAGTCGCCTAGCTTATAGTGGTGTTAGTATCACTGTGTTTGATAGTCAAAATTCAAACAATAATACTGAATTCAAAAATAATGAAGGTAATAGAACGAGTGGCAGTAGTGATATTTACTCCCGAGGAAGAAGACCTTGTCCCCATCTAAAGGAGCAATTATTTGGAGATTCGCTTGGATGATATATATAAAGTAGTTACGTAGGCTCCACAATTGTTATATATAGTTTTCAGTGGCAGTATCAGCAAAAGAAAGATCTTTTGAGGATGATCTTATCACTATTTCTCTAATGAGTGGGCAAAGAGTGGTTCAACCTCTTCGAGATTATACTTAATATAGTTATAGTTGTGATTATGACTTTCCTTAATCTAATGTTACTCTTGTGGGTAAAGTTTGACGGTCGGACTGTTGGTCTCTGCACCCAGTAGCAGTGATTTAGAATACGATGTTCAACAAGACTGATCTTCATCTGAGTCAAAGGGGTGCTTGTCCATTGATTATATGGCTTGGCAGCGTCATTTATATTCCTCATTGAAAGACTACTAATCAAGAAAAGTAAAAAGCCGAAACAATTCACTTTCAAATTGACATTCTTCTTCAGACATGTAGAACATGAGAACCTAGGCTACCTATTGTGTTTGAATAAGGGTGAAATCAATTTAGAATTATATTCTAACATCTTTTCAACTAACCGATTTCAAGAGAATCTTCATTCTCATTGAGGGTTGACTTTACTAGTTGCTTGCCAAAGCCCCCTCGATCAAATTTCAAATCTATAGCTAAAGGTAATTAGCCAGTTGATATTAAAGAAGACTCTCTCGCATAATGAAATAGAATCCTATTTGAAAACAAAATAGGAGCAGCCGTCAGTTCATCATTATTGAAGTTGAGGAAAAAATGGTAAGGTAAAGAAAGCATATGTCAAAAGTTTTGAAGTCACATGAAAAAAGGGTAAAAGGACACAGAGAAAAGAGAATACAAAACTTGTAGGAGGTGAGATAATTTTTGAATTGTGAGATTTGGTAGCAAGTCGAAAATTATCTCTGGAGCAGTACTTGGACACAAATAGAAACATTATCTTGATAGCAGCAAAACTAAAAACTTGTTTAGGGGAAGACTTCATATACAGCAGGGTTGGCATTCTCATCAACGTTCAGTGAATCAATTCAAGAGAGCATGCATAGAAGCTGAAGATTGAATTGAGGTTCATCAGGTTAGCTATTTTTATTCTAGTGATGACATCCAAAAGTAGGCTAAATTTTCTAGATGGAAATTTATGAGTTGATTCAAAAAGTTTCAAGTTGAACTCAATTGTTAGAAGAACAATTCTAGCATTTGATAAAGTTTTCAGAGGTTTAACTTAACTTGAAACTAGAAAAAATGTTTATCCCCATCTACCTAGAGTGTTGAAAGGTACCAAGCTATCATAAAGTAGGATGGTTGACTAGAAAGTCGTCATGATGGCTGGTAATTGCTAACTTAACTTTATCATCTCTCGTGGTTCTTTGTCAGATGACATGAATTCTTGTTGGATTGGACAGTATCAGAGAACAAATCAATTTTGAGAACTAGGGGGACTGAGAGGACAACATGAATAGCTGTTAATTCCTAACTTTATGAAACCATCGTGAGTAGCTCTTTTTTCAAAAAACTTAACGATTTATAATATACTTACCGCATAAGGGAATCTCTTGTCCTAAGTAGAAGTTTACGTACAATAGTTAGCAATTCGTTCTCTGTCTCACCTCTGGTCTTTTCTTTCTGAATAGCGAGCTATGAACCGAAAGTGATACCTGAGACACTTTAATTCGAATAGCGCCTTCCCTTGATAGCCTTCATATAGTTGAAGTTATGAAAACATTTTGATAACACCCCACTAGAGAGCTTGTTGGAGATAGTCAGAGAGAAACATAAACTATTGGAGTTGCTGGTGAATGACCAACTAATGTCAAGTCACAGTTAAGAGACTTCAAAATTGGTGTCAAAAAAAAATGTTGCTAAAATGGTAGCAGCTCCTTTTCTATGATACCGATAACGTTAGCTCTTTTCTAAAGAGCTAAAAAAATAAGCCCAACGCGGGGCTTGAACCCGCAACCTTGTGATTAAGAGTCACACGCTCTACCGATTGAGCTAGCCAGGCTGAACAGCTTTAAAATTTGGTCATGCTATACTAGTCAAATTAGTTTACCCGGCTTCAAAGAATTTTGAAAAAATATCAAAATGTGGAATATATGCCCATCGAGGATAGAAAGATCAAAACTTCAAAGTAACAAATAATGGCACAAAAAAATCATATAGATTCATCTAGTAACTGAGACAGAATAAGAAGCAATTATTGAGAAACAGAGACATTTCTCAAATTAAAATGTGCGACTGCCTTTCTTAATAAGGAGAAAATGGCAACTCGTCATTATCAAATTACGAACTCTATCAAATTAATAAATTTATTGGTCTGTTGATTTACATTGTTAAATCACAAAGAATGCAAGCTCAACAACAAGAAGATAATACCTT